AAAACTCTTTAATACTGGTTTGAAAGTGCATTAAATGCCTATTGTATATGTGAATCATTCTGAATGTAGACAGTCCTAGGCTCAATTCTTAGCATATTCAGTGAAAGGATCAGATAACAGGTAATGCGAAACACCTCCAGGTGGAAACCTTGAGCACTACTAAAGGCACCAGCAGATTCTGTCTGATTTTGAAAGTCACTAGGGTCAGCTTTAGTCAATGTTTGGATGGGAGAGCAGCAATAAATACCAGGGGCTCTAGGTTATATTTCAGAGGAAGGGGCTTTCAAAACCACCTCTGAGGATTTCTTGATTAAGAAAACCCTACGAAATGTAAGGGACTGGTAGACAACCTGAAAACACACACATTATCAATGAAACTGAAAGTCCTAGATAGATGAAAGAAAAGATTTGGCTCAGCAAACAACTTCACAAATGAATACATGATACTCATTATAAAATCTAGATTTACTTTTAATTTTGAAGACAGGTATACTCTTGCTTTTGACTTTGCAATGTAAATATTCTTAATGCTGTATTGCTTAAAAACAAAACATGTAACCATAACCACAATGAGCGAACCTATGGTTTTAAAAAGTACCGTCCTCTGTTACCCACATTTAAGACAGTTGTATGAAAGTCAATGAATGTTAGAAAAGAAGTACCTGCTAAACACTGTTGATATTTGACAGCCATAAATATTAGAATACAGTTTCAACTATGTGTTAAATAATGAGCAGCCAGCATACTTAAACAAGAAAATCTGTCAAATATTTCCAGGTCTAAGCTGTTTCTAAATACCAAAGTCTGAAGCACCACCAGCCACTCCACCTATAAGCTGGTTGAAAATTCTCACAATTAAAAGTTAAACGATTTACATTCAATGAACAAGCAGCACATGAGCTTGAAACATAACAACTTAACTTTCCCATAATTCCCTTGGTAAGACATACCTTTTTTTCATTCACAAAAAAGATCAGCTCATGAGATTCTGTTGCTCCAAGGAGAGACATTATAGAATGTGACATTTCTAGACTCATTCCAGTTAAGCCCCAATCTAAACTTCTGTCCACTCCCAAGCAAATTACAAGTGCATGATCTTGTCATCTGAAAGCTATTTACCAAAGTATGGGGAGGAACATATTGATCTATGAAGGGAATATGAGTGAAGAAAGCTACTAGGGCCTCATTCCACATAGTCTGTGCTCCATTTTCATGCACTTCATGAAAGTAGTCCCACAGAGGCCATCACATGACACAAGGGCACTTCTGGTGGGACTCCATTTTTGCAGAGCCCAGAATGCATTTTCAGGAATCAGGTGATACCTGACTCCAAACAGTAAATAAATTAAAAAAGACAGGGAAAGAGGGCAAGGATATGGGGTGGCTGGTCATCCTAGAAGACAGACCTCAGTGATCAGGAATGAAGTAAGGCCCAACTTTTTTTCTGCTTGTGGGATGAGGTTGTAAGTAAAGACAGTAGATGGCACAGCAGGACAGGAGAACTTGTGGCCCATCAGTTTGGACTGCCAATTAGCACAAGAGGTTTCATCAAGCAATGATGGGAGTTACAGTCCAAAACCTGGAAAATGGCATTCTTTAACCCTGTACAGGTTTGATATTGTAGATAGTTGGTTGTTATTTTTATTGACTGCCATCAAGTTGACCTAGGAGACCTCCAAGCCACCCTGTCATCACCAGCTCAGGTTTTGCAAATCCTGGATGGTGGCTTTCTTTAGTATATCCACCTGTAATGATCTTCCTCTTTTCCTGCAGCTTTCTTCTTTGCCAGGCCTCATTGCCTTTGTAGTAGTCAATGTATTCTCATATGTTAAAGGTGTACAACAATCTCAGCTTAGTCATATTGTCTTCTAGAGACAATTCAAGCTTAATTTGCTCTTACACATTTATTTGTCATTTTGGCATCTCATGGCATCTGCAGAACTCTCCTCCAGCACATTTCAAATGTTGACACTTCCCCGATCAGTTTTTCTCACTGTCTAGCTTTAACAGCCATACGTAGAAATAAAAAATAAATGGTGTAGACAATCCTGATTTTGGCATGCAAAAATGAATTTTTTACACTTGATCTCATCTTGTTCTTTCATAACTGTACTTGTAAGTCCAAGTATTCTCTTGGTTAAAAATATCCTCGGGATTATGCAAGACCCGAATGTTTTATGTATTGTGTGTGACTGTTGTTTTATAGTTTTATAATTTTAATGGTTTTACTCTATTGTCATTGTTGTTGTTTTGATATATGTTGTTTTATACACGTCAGGCATTGAATTTTGCCATTGATTATGTTGGGAACCATTTTGAGTCCCCCTAGGGGTGAGAGAAGCATATAAGTGCAGTAAATAAATCTATATAAATAAAAATGTAATGTTCGTTTGTGGGATTAACAGAACTCGAAAACCACTGGACGAATTGACACCGAATTTGCACACAAGACACCTAACAACCCAATGTATGTCCTTCACTCAAAAAATTGATTTTGTCATTTGGAAGTTGTAGTTGCTGGGATTTATAATTCACCTACAATCAAAGAGCATTCTGAACCCCACCAATGAAGGAAGTGAACCAAACTTGGCACAGTTCTCCCATGACCAACAGAAAATACTGGAAGGGTTTGGTGGGCAGTGTCCTTTGGTTTTGGAGTTGTAGTACACCTACATCCAGAGAGCACTGTGGACTCAAACAATGATGGATTTGGACCAAACTCTACACAAATACTCAATATGCCCAAATGTAAACACTGGTGGGGTTTGGAGAAAATAGAATCTTGACATTTTGGAGTTGTAGTTGCTGGGATTTATAGTTCACCTACAATCATAAAGCATTATGAACCCCATCAACGATAGAATTGGGCCAAACCTCCCACAAAGAACCCCCATGTGGGCCACAGCAACGCATGGCAAGGGACAGCTAGTAGTTTTATAATTTTAATGGTTTTATTCTATTGTTATTATTGTTGTTTTGATATATGCTGTTTGATACATGTCAGGCATTGAATTTTGCCATTGATTCATGTTGGGAACCCTAGGGGTGAGAAAAGTGGTATATAAATGCAGTAAATAAATAAATAATAAATAAATAAGAGTTGGAAGAGGAAAGGCAGCAGATGATCATCAGTCATAAATGTCACAAGATAGTTGCATTAGATCCTTTTGCATTTGATCAGAACCTAACTGAGCAGACCGTTCATTTTCCGGTCCCAATTCAAGGTGCAGGTTCTTACCTACAAAGCCCTGAACGGTTTGGGACCTGCCTACCTGCATTTCCATCTACGAACCCATGCAATCTCTTCGATCGTCTAGAGAGGCCCTGCTCTCGCTCCTGCCTCCTTCACAGGTGTGACTGGTGGGGACGAGGGAGAGGGCCTTTTTGGTGGTGGCCCCTCGACTCTGGAACTCACTCCCTAAGGACATCAGGCATGCCCCAACTTTGGCAGTCTTTAGGAGGAGCTTGAAAACGTGGTTGTTCCAGTGTGCCTTCCCAGAATAATGATCCCTTAGCATTATATCCTCTAAAAGCACTTTATATTGATTTAAGATTGCATGTACGTTTCCACCAACACCCCACCTCCTCTATCTTGTTCATGCTCAGCATTATTTTTAAACTTTAATTACATTTGGCCCAGCCATAGATTTTAAATGTGTTTTGTGCTATTGTTCAATGTTTATGCTATTTGTGTATGAGATTTATTTTAATTGCTTTGTATTAGTATTTGTATTTTGCTTTGTACTGTGGTTGTTATTGCTTGTATTGATGTATTGTGGGTTCGGCCTCATGTAAGCCGCATCGAGTCCCTTGGGAGATGGTAGCGGGGTATAAATAAAGTTTTATTATTATTATTATTATGGCCCATCCAGTCCAACCCCTTGCCAAGAAGCAGGGTTTTTTTTTTTTTGTCGTGTCAGGAGTGACTCTTGGTGTGAGAGAATTGGCCGTCTGCAAGGACGTTGCCCAGGGGATGCCTGGATGATTTGATGTTTTTATCATCCTTGTGGGAGGCTTCTCTCATGTCCCCGCATGAGGAGCTGGAGCTGATAGAGGGAGCTCATCCGCCTCTCCCCAGATTCGAACCTGCGACCTGTTGGTCTTCAGTCCTGCCGGAACAGGGGTTTAAACCACTGCACCACCGGGGGCTCCTAAGAAGCAGGTAAAAACTGCATATAAAGCACTCCTGACAGATGGCCATCCAGCCTGTTTCAGGGGAGACGTCTTCCTGGACTCTGCATAGATAACGTGAAACCGTGGATAACTGCAAGTTCTTTTGAAATAAAGGACTTATGGCCTAAGAATACCATAGTATTGTAACGGAGGACCTGGAACGCCCATATTATGTCGGCCGTGGATCAATAAGGGAAAGCCAGATTTGACCCAAGGGAGGCCTTGAGTTTGGCGCATGCGCTCCACGAGGCTCATGGAGTTGCCATAAGGAGACAGGCAACTTGAATTCATAGAATCATAGAATCAAAGAGTTGGAAGAGACCTCATCCAGTCCAACCCCCTGCCAAGAAGCAGGAATATTGCCTTCAAATCACCCCTGACAGATGGCCATCCAGCCTCTGTTTAAAATCTTCCAAAGAAGGAGCCTCCACCACACTCCGGGGCAGAGAGTTCCACTGCTGAACGGCTCTCACAGTCAGGAAGTTCTTCCTAATGTGCAGATGGAATCTCCTCTCTTGTAGTTTGAAGCCATTGTTCCTTGTCCTAGTCTCCAAGGAAGCAGAAAACAAGCTTGCTCCCTCCTCCCTGTGGCTTCCTCTCACATATTTATACAAATCATTTTCTACTGCGTTGTAGCCTATCCATATTTCAGGAGCGGCTTTTGCACGACCTGCCTTCCCTCAGTGAGACCGGAAACTCAGGATACCGCACTTCAAAGCGAGACGCTCCCGAAGAAAGATGTAACTTCCGCCTCCCTCGCGCACACTGTGACGCACTTAAGACCGCCCCCCCCCCCGAGAAGCGCGAGGCTGCGCGTGAAGGGGGCGGGGCCAGGGCGACATTGCGGTGGGCGGGGCCAGCCTCGAGCTTGAGAGAGAGAGAGAAAGGTAAGGGACTCCTCTGAGGAGAAAGGGTTGCTGCTTGTTTCCTTCTTCTCCAGCGAGGCGCCTGGGCCTCAAACCCGAGGCCCGTTGCTTCAAGGAGGGCAGGGGAAGGAGGCAGAGGGCTCTCTACACCCGTCTGCTACTGACTCTGTCTTCTTTTCCTCACAAAAACCGCATTGAAAGGGAAAGATGGCCTAACTCCCTTAGGCTGGTGGTGCCAGGAGCCCTCAGCCTTTCTTGGAGCGCCCAAATCAACAGCTTTGTATAGTCACAAAAGCGATAAGGTGTAAAAAATATATTTTTAAACAGTGTTGTGGTATAACATCAAGACAAGGTCCTGAAGTGTGCAAACATATCATTGAACACTAAAGTTAGAGTGGTTCGTGTCATCGCATTTTCCCTTTCTGTGTATAATAATAATAACAACAACAACAACATCATAATAACAACAACAACATGCCCTTGCAGAATATGTCAAGGAAAGCCAAGAACCTGCTTTAATTGAAGTCAGTAATCGGAAACTTCTCAAAGCACAGCAGACAAAAAATCAGTACAAGAAAACTTCACTCCAAACCAGAGCTGACAGCTGGCAGACTAAGCATTGCACTGGCAGTTCCTTGACAAAATTGATGGAAAAGTTGACAGACAGAAGACCTGGTTATGGCTCACAAATGCAACCCTGAAAAAGGAGACAGAAGGCCTGATTCTTGCAGCTCAGGAGCAAGCCATCAGAACCAATGCAATTAAAGCCAGGATCAAAAAATCAGCTGATGACCTAAAATGCAGACTGTGCAAGGAAGCTGATGAAACCATGGACCATATCCTCAGCTGTTGCAAGAAAATTGCACAGATGGACTACAAACAAAGACACAACTTTGTGGCCCAGATGATTCACTGGAACTTGTGACACAAGTACCACCTGCCAGCAGTAAATAATTGGATTATAAACCTGCAAAGGTCGTGGAAAATGAACATGCAAATTCTGTGGGACTTTGGAATCCAGACTGACAAAGTTTTGGAACACAACACGCCAGACAACACGATTGTGGAAAAGAAAAAAGTCTGGATTATTGATGTCGCCATACCAGGTGACAGTCGCATTGTGGAAAAACAACAGGAAAAACTCAACCACTATCAAGACCTCAAAATTGAACTGCAAATGTGAAAATTGCCTCTTTTGTATTGTATCTTAAAAGAGAAGACCCGGGGGAATGGGCCGTTTTTGAGGGGAAGAATCAGGACTTAAAAGCCAAGTGTCACATATGTAACACTTCCCATTGAGGGATCTCAACATGATGGTGTCAGAGTGTATATCAGAGAGTAGGGACATGTCCGATGTTTTCCTATACTATTTGTCATAAAACAGTACAGGTGGTCCCAGTGGTCATCGACACACTGGGTGCCATGCCAAAAGATCTCAGCTGGCATTTTGAAACAATAAACTGGGAGCAAGGTGAACGCTTATTGTTAGACTCAACTTCTGTCAGTTTAGCAGTTTGAAAACATGTGAATGTGAGCAGATCAATAGGTAACGCTTCTGCAGAAAGGTAACGGCACTCCATGCAGTCATGCTGGCCACATGACCTTGGGGGTGTCTAAGGACATCGCCATCTCTTCATCTTAGAAATGGAGATGAGCACTAACCTGCAGAGTCAGACACAACTAGACTTAATGTCAGGGGAAACCTTTACCTTTACCCTCCTAAACTTTACACTTTGGGTCGCCCTAAATCTGAAATTATTTGAAGGTGCACAGTAACAGCAATTCTAATTAACTTGACTCTCTTATCGGCCAAAAGCAGGCCCACATGTCCCATTGAAATACTGGTAAGTTTAGGTTGATTAAAATTGTTCTTCATTTTAAATGTATTTTTCTTTCATGTCTTTTTGAACTTCAAATATGCTATGTACAGTATGCATAGGAATTCATGTTTTTTTCAACTGTCATACATAAATACACAGAGTCTGGGGGACTGAGAACCAGCACTCTCTTTAAAACTTTTGAGGACATCTGCTTTAGAACAGCTACGGAATCATTCTGGTTGTTGAAATGAAAATAATCACAGTAATTCATTGTCCTAAGTGTAATTTTTGCTGCTGTTACAGGTGTACAACGTTAATTGCAAATGCAATGGATAACAGTGATAGTGAAAAGGTGGTAGATATTATTCGACTTAATGTTAGAGGCTGCATGTATACTGCCCGGCGTGAATCTTTATGTCGTTTTAAGGAATCAATGCTAGCATCGATGTTCAGCGGACGGTTTCCTCTAAAAATGGATAATACAGGTAAAATAATACATATTGTTAATGGCTAGAAAAAAAAGAGTTTTTATTGTACATTAATAAACAAAAGGTGAAAAAAACTGAAGTTTATGTACACAATTGTATAGCATACTGTATATACTAATGTATAAATTGGCCTCATGTATGAGTTGAAGGCTGGTTTGGGGGTCAAAATTATGGATTTTGATATGGCCAATGGAGAATTTGAGGGTTATTCCTCTGAGACGGAAAGCAACACCACTTCAGGAAGCCAGCTGCCCCTGACTACTGCCACCATTATCCTACCTAGGCATTTAAAGAGGCCAGAAATTGTGCCACGTTAGATGGAGTAGAGCAGCTCAGCCTCCCATAAGGATGGTAAAACATCAAACGTCCGGACATCCCCTGGGCAACATCCTTGTAGACGGCCAATTCTCTCACACCAGAAGCAACTTGCAGTTTCTCAAGTTGTTCCAGACACAAAAAAGTGGGTTAATGCGAAGCAGTAGAATTTTGAATTCAAATCTTCATGCATTCATGAGCTTCAAATATATTTCTGTAGTGAAAGTGGCATCTCCATAGATGGTTAGGATAATCCAGATTGCCGTGTTTTATGATGTTTGAGTGACCTTGAGCCACTCACTTTGCCCCACTCTGTTACAACGAAGTTATTACAGAGGTAAAAGGATGTGGAAAAACTACATGTGATGTTGTTAGTGATGGATATGATTATTTTCTTCCTTTCCAGGAGCTTGCTTTATTGATCGAGATGGCAACCTCTTTAAATACCTCTTAGACTATTTACACGGAGAGGTTCGGCTTCCAGAAGATAAGCAAACACGAATTGCATTGCAGGAGGAGGCTGATTACTTTGGCATTCCTTATCCTTATAGCCTTGATGACCACTTAGCCAATGAAATGGAGACATATTCTTCAAAATTAAATCTGGAACTAAAAAAGGTATGCAAATGTATGTTTTTAAATTCTGCGTAGAGCAAACCACCAGGAAAAGTAAGGTGTTTGTCTTGGTGATGGCATGTCAGAAACTGAATAATATTATTTTCCCAAGAAATACCACTGACCTTAGGAAATGGCCAGCCATTTTTCAAAGCCAGGCACTGTCCATGATATTCCTAAGCAGTGTGTCTAGAATGGTTGTCAAAGAGAGGTCATCTGAAAACCAGAAATTGTCTTCACAGAGCAGGACTAGCTGTTTAGTGCCACTGTTAATGCCTGCCATTACTTATTACTCTCTATCTTATTCTTGGAAATGAAGGGATTGTGAAATAATAATAAAAGGCTGCTTCTCTTTCTGCTTGTTAGGTATAGAATGGCTGTTTGACATTTGGGAGTCCTGGCCTCTCAAGAACATTTGTAGGAAGAAAAACAGCACATGGAAAGTTCCAACAACTGTTTGTTTTTGTTTTTAACAGTTCAAAAATCATCACCGTTTTCCAAGAAAAAAAATTAAGGTTTTTTTTTTCAAGTTACGTGCTCTTTGGAAAAAGTGCACAAAACCCCCAATAGAAATGGAGAACTGTGTATTAAAATGTTGCCTGTGTAGTGCTTGTTCTTTCACTGTGTACTGTTTTCTGTGTGCATTGTAAAGCTGCAACACATAAGCTGTGTAATATTCAGTGATGTGTGTATGTGTGTGTGGGGGGGGGGGACAGACCTGTAGCTTTTGAAGCTACATATTCTGTTTTGTGCTTTGCCCTATTTTTAGAAGGAAGATGGCGTACAAATTGATGCAGGATTCCATTTTCTGCTTTTCTCGCCATCATTTTGGAAAGCTCCCCTTGCCCACACCTCATAGGAGGGGGGAAATGCTTTTAAACTTCTGCAACATTTAAAGATGCGAAATATTTTTGGCTGTGCAACATACAGTTTAGTACTTTTTTTCTCGAACCTTTGTAAAGTTTCATAGCTTTCCAGTAAACTTGGTTTGTTTTGAAGCTCTGTAGCTTTCTTTAGGAAAAAAATCAAACAAAAAAGAAAAAATCAAAAGAAAAACCAATAAGTTCTGGCTGTGATACTGGGTAGGATACCATGTCTGACCTTAGAAGTTGAGGCTAAGGTTAAATCATAAAATAAATTGTGTTTTTCAATCAGCCGGAGTGCTCTCAGTCCAGTGTGGGAAAGAAACATTCTGTGTATATTTCAAAAGGAGTTGTTATTATCATGGTTGTTGTATTTGCTGTGTGCTTTGATTCATTTCTGACCTATGGTAACCCTAAGACAAACTTATCACAGGATTTTCTTGGCAGAATTTGGTCAGACCAGGCTTGCCCATGTCTTCCTCTCAGGCTGAGAAACTGATCCATGGCTGAGAAGCTATTCAAATCCAAGTCTTCTAGTGCCCTGGTCCAACATACAAGCCACTATCCCACTCTGGCTCATTTCAAAATCCCACAGCCAGTTAATCACATTATTATAGTACCAATAAAGCCAATTCAACGGTACATCTAAGGTTGTATTTTTTCTATCTAATCTAAGTCTGTCCAAAAGTCAGATTTTATTTTTTACATCTAGTAAATAGCAGGGGACACCCACAAGTCAGTCAGTAAGATGATATTATGTTATCACTGTTCTCTAGAGTAGGAGAAATAAGGCTGCAATCGTATGCACATTTATTCTGAAATAAATGCCATTGAACTCAGATAGACATTTGAATGATTAGGCTATGTATTTTTATGTGGTGCTGTCTTTAAAATCCCACATTACAAAGCATGTAACGATAACATATAATGGATTTTTTCCCCTCAGGTTCTCCTTGATTTTTGTAACTCTTATGGCTTAATATGCACTAAGCCTACCATTTGGATTCTGCACTACCTCAACACTTCTGGTCCAAGTTGTGAGAGTAAGATCATTGGTGTCTATGCCGCAAAAGTAGATGGAACTGCTGCAATAGAGAAAGAACTAGGAGGAAGAATTCATAGTAAAAACATTTACAAACGGTGAGCGAGTTCACAGCCATGTCATTGCATCAAAGTGTAAATATCTTTCCTCATATCAAGCTATTTTTGGTGTGTGCCATAGAAAACCTGGCTCTTTTTGCAAGCTTTCCCAGTTTTAGTGAATGCATAGCATCTACCATATTTCATACTTAACAACAGCAATGCATTATGGTCTATTGGCCCATTACTGAACAAACAGTAGTTAAAAATTATCCCATCTCACTGTCCAAAATTAGTATACATGATTTCAAATAATATCCCTATTCAAAGCTAGTTTCTTTCTCAGCCTTGGTGCCTCTGCGTAGGATTTTGCCACTATGAGGGTCATCCTGTGGCACTTCTCTAAAAGATATCATGCTTAATGTATTTCATACTTAATGTAAATGCTGCATTGTTTTATGTATTGTTCTATATTAATAGAATGTTCTGTACTCTTCAGATATAAAGACGCTAAAATGGTCATTAATAAATAAATTGTGAACAAAGGAATTTTCACTATCCAAAAACAGAACTGAATCCAGCTAGAGCAGATCCATTTAATTTGTGGGGTTGACATAGCTGCTGACATAAAATTCAACAGATGCTTTATTTTATCAGCTCATTGCCAGCAGGAATTAGTTTTAGTTCATATGTTCCAGAATATTAGTTGAGCAGTCTCTTTCTTGGAGTATTTGAGCCATTATCTGGATTTTTAAAAACAAAACCCAAATGCTGTCTTTGCACACCAATAACTTTAGTCCCATTTTTTATTTACATGTGTAGGTGAAAGTGTTATTCTTATTTTGCACAACCCCCCCCCCCCCCCCCCCCCCCCCCAAACAATCATAATATATTTGCAATCTTCATCTGACCAAAATTATTGGTTAAAGCCAGTGGCTGTAATCTAGTGCGGAGGTAGCTGCATGTTTATTAAAATGATATAACTAAAGTTTAGGTATAGTCCATTGACATACATTTTACTGATCTTATATTTAAAGACTTAAGCGATAATCACATTATTTTTTTCAGGTAAAGAAATATGCCAGAGAGCTGAAAAAACTGACTCCTCTATTTTAAATGTAAATATGTTTGTATTTAGTAGATTTTTTTTTCAGGTTGTAGAATAATATGTCATTTTCTACTATTTTCTACTACCTCACTACCTCTGAGGATGCTTGCCATAGATGCAGGCGAAACGTCAGGAGAGAACGCCTCTAGAACATGGCCATACAGGCCGAAAAAACCTACAACAACCCAGTGATTCCGGCCATGAAAGCCTTCGACAATACATTCTACTATTTTATTTTTCTACAGAGAGTCTGGAAATAATGTCCAATATATCTGGAGCTACTATTCTGTTACTGAATTGAAAATGATGATGGATGTATTTGAGGCTTGGGAAGGAAAAGGTTAGTGTTTATGTGTGTGTTTTAAGATTGTATGTATCAGAAATGATGGGTTTTTTTAATATCTTGAATATAGAATCAGCCAGTGAGGAACATCTTTGTAAATTATCAGGTAGCTTTCATCAATATAAGGAAAGAGAATAGTACAATTAGCTATATATAGTGGAGAAATCTACAGTTTGGCCAAATATTAGGTCATAATTATTTTAACCCATTTAAAAAGAAATATGTATACTGTAGTTGAACTGTATTGTCAAAATAGTCTAGTATTTTTTGAATTGTCATTGAGAAATGTGTATTCTCTTTACAATATCTTATCTATTGGTTGTTGAGCTTGCCAGTTTTGGAAAGAAGCTCAATAGATCTAATATCTAGTTTAGGGAAGAGGGAAGCCTTGCCTCTGTTTATGTATTGTTTGCACTGTAAAACTGCAGCACATAAGCTGTCTAATATTCAGTGATGTGTGTGTGTGTGTGTAGGGGGAGTTGGATCTGTAGCTTTTGAAGCTACATATTCTGTTTTGTGCTTTGTCCCATTTTTAGAAGGAAGATGGCATATAATTGATGCAAGATTCCATTTTCTGCTTTTCTCGCCATCTTTTTTGGAAAGCTCCCCTTGCCCACACTTCATAGGAGGGGGGAAATACTTTTAAACTTCTGGAACATTTAAAGATGTGAAATATTTTAGGCTGTGCAACATACAGGATACTTCTTCAGAGAAGGCTTGCTGTTGCTTTTCTCTGAAGTTGAGAGACAGTGATATGCATATCAGTGAATCTTGATTAAAACAGTTCCCAAACCTGACATCTACCCTTCTTGAATATTCTGGAATTACAAGGTGTCAGTTATTGGCGAGTTCCGCGGGAACAGATAGAGTGTTGGACTCTTGAGGAGCGCCCTTTGGAAGGAAATCTACAAAACATGTCTCCTGTTCGTAAGCGGTATGTTCTTTGTATTGTTATTAATTTACTAATAGGATGGAGCTGAGGCTTCTTTTGGTTTAAGAAAAGCAATATTTGTATTAATTTTTTTTTGCATGATGAAATAGGAAAAAAAAGTACAAAATTAATATATAGATCATATACTATATATATTGGTAAAGCCTTTAGCTGCAAACTGCCTGCAAACTGCCTGGAAAACACCTAAGCTGCCTTTGGAAGTGTTGATACATCAAACATTCTTACAATGGTTCATACAAGAAACAACTATAAGGAGAAAGCTTTACCTCTACATGGACAAACACTAGCAACTGAGAAGATACAGCTAGCTGTTGAGTCTGCTGAGACTGAGGAGAGGAGGCTTTTTGCACTAGAGAGGAAACAAAGTCAAGCAAAAATGACTAAATTTTTCCCTCTGGAAAATATGCACCAGGGGCAGTTGATAAACCCTGAGGAGGGCCCAAGGATTACAAAGGTAGGCAATATTACTACGATTGCTGAAGAGCTCAAGGACTGGCCGATCGACACCAAAGGGCTTTTATTGAAGGAGAGTAAGATTATGGACTCAGGAGGTGGGAGAAGCTTGGCTGAGGAACTGGCACAAGCCGAGATGGAGAGTTCTGAGGCTATTGCAACACAAAATTGGAGCCTGGACCCGACGCCAGGAAAGCCCCCCACCTTATCTTCAGAAGAGGTTCACTTTAATTCTCACACACCCAAGAATTTTTTACAACAGTATCCCTACCTCGACTTGCAACAAGGAGAAGATTCAAACGAGGGCTATTCGCACCTGGAAGCTAAGTTCACTGCCTTCTCTAATGATCTGCTGATAATTAAGAATTATCTACAGGAAAGTACGGGGCTCCTGAGTACACTTGTGAAAATAATTAAGGCAGAAGCTTTGGAAAGCCGGTGCAACTGTGACTCTATTAAGGCAATATCTGCTGTCAACATTCTAGATACAACCAAGCAAGATGCAGCTATCCTACGCTGTAGTGATAAAAGAACAAAACAGAGAAAAGCAGATAAAAGCAAGCACCTTAAAGTCAACTGCAAGAGCCAGAAAAAAATCATGAACAGCAAAAGGGAGATGAAACAAAAGACCACATGCAAACAAATAAAAAGTACCAGAAATCATCAACGCGGTTTAAAGAAACTCCTAGCTCTAATTCCATCTTCAAAAACCTTGGTAACAAAAAGGAAGAGAAGCAAAAAAAGTTTCCCAAAGCAGAGTCACAGTGCTACCAATGATGGCAAGGTGGATAGAACCATAGTGACAAATCCAGGACCCCAGACGTTTAATATAACAACACAAACCGAATCTCAGGTGACCAACATGACAGGAGAGAAAGATGGTAGGAACCCAGAAAAGGTAGAGGCAATGGATGGACCTAAATTGCCAACAGTAAAACAACAAAATTGCAGACAAAAGATTAATGGACATTATAATGATAATTGGAACTTGGTCCTTATGCCAAATAAGCTGGTGATTATAAAAGTCCCTAAACCAGGAAAGATTTTAAGTTTAGAAGATCGGAAAAATCATGCGATAGGACTTATGAATAATGTTCTACCAGGAGGGTTGTACACAACGGACATTGACGAGATTGATTACTTACATAATGACTCAATGCATGTTGACGCCATAATCTCCTTTATCGACCCAAATATAGCTAAATTTGTCATAAGAGCTAGAGATTTATTTTCAAAACAAGGCATCAGGATAACAAGATTTTTTAAGAAGGTCTTCACTCAACGAGTCCCAGATGGTACAGTGAGATTTGAGGAACAGCAACCAGCACTTAAAGTGGGAAATGAACAATTGCTGAAATCCCACAAGGTTCAAGCCACCAGGCCAACAAAAGAAGAAAAAGGTGTTGATGGTCTGGGGAACCTTTTTTGTAACGAGGAACAATCACTGGTAGAGGCATATGCAAATTTGCCAAAAAAAGAGCAATGGGATATCCTAGAGAGGTTAGAGGCACTAAGTAGCCATCTAAGGAAAATATATACGGAAGGGCTATATCTTAATGAGGCAGGACACACTAATCCAAAGGAATGGCAAAGAGCAGCTCAGAATAGTGAAAAATGGTTGGAGATGAGATTTTTAGACTCTGAGGAGAGATTTGAGCCCTCCATTAAACACCTCCCACTGACCCCAGAGGTGAAAGTCGTGAAACCCCAAATTACTAATCCGTGTGTTGCTCATGACAATCCCTGGGAGGCCCTCACGAGTATTGAAGCAGAGGACAAGGGACAAATTTCAAAAGAAGCATGAATGTCAAGTACAAATTGTGGTTTGAAACAGCCCCCAATCATGCAGTTCTTTCAACATGTGGTGCCCAGAAATAAAGAGAACATGGTAAAAGAGAACTCTACTCATCCACTCAGAAATAGTGATATTCAGAAACTTAGTTACCAAAGAAGGACAGGAGAGCTATTAAATCTGACAAAGAGACAGCATGATAAGCTAGTAGAGCCTATGCAGGCTGAACTACACCCAACTGATCCTGGCTTGAATAACCATAGCCCAAAAGCCTCTGCTCAGACTGAACTTCTGCACATCGGTAATGATTCAGATCTATCGACACCAGCGGGACAATTACACCTGCTATCCTGGAATATAATGGGATGGACAAATAAGTTTCATGATGCAGATTTTGCAATTTATCTGCAACAATTCAAAATTATTTGTTTGCAAGAGACATGGGCCACTGAAACTAATCTACCTTCCCTTCATGGTTTCAGAGCACATTCGGTTCGAGCAGTAAAAACAAGCTCAAAAGGCCGTGGTAACGGGGGCCTTACCATATTTATCTCAGTAGATCTGCACGTGGACCTTTGGATAGCTCCATCCCACAATATATACAGGCCCTCCTCATTAAGAGCACGTATTTTGGTTATGTAATCTGTATAAATGTCTATTTTCCACCTAGATTATCAAAAAATGGAGACCCTAATAATGTCTGGTTTACAAAAAATGGAGACCCTAATAATGTCTGAAACCCTAACCTGTTTGGAATGCCAATACCCCTCCACAAAGCTCCTCTTGTGTGGAGATTTTAATGCTAGAATTGGGATGGGTGTTAAACAGGTGGAAGGCACTAACTGCAGACAAGATGACCAGGTTACATCTGCTGACAGGGTCTCTCAAGACACCATCAGAAACAAGGCCGGTCTGAGTTTCTTAGAGATGCTCTCCTTGCATCAATTGCACTGCCTTAATGGGACACAGTACTATATATATTACAAATTCTCCTGTGCTAATTATGATTAACTCCAAGTCAAATCTACTAATTAAGAGTTTTACAAAATGTGATGTATTGTATAGTTACAAAATAATTTTAAAGGTAGTGTAAACATTTTTTAAGTTAAATGGATACTGCACAGTAGGAAAATGTGCAATTCACAAATCTTGAATGTGATGGTCTATTGCAGGGGCTCCCAACTTTTTTTTTTTTTTGACCAGGGGCCACTTTGGCCAGCCACCACTCTCCAACATTAGTACCAAAAGGTTTATGAATCAGTTTTTCGCCAACTTTAGATTTGGTTTCGTTATTTGGGGTGATGATTCAGAAAATTTCATTGGATAAACCACATCAGTTCTAGTTTCTGATATAGAACGTATGCCATTCAGTAGTCACCATCTACTTGCCCACAGAAAACCATATTTAATAAGCCTCGGAACTATAAGAGGGTTTTGCGAGACCAGTCACTCTTGTTGCAACGGTGTAGTAACAATGTGGCTGCAGACCATATTTTAGTTCTTGGGGACCACTGGTGGTCCACAGACCACAGTTGGGAACCATTGATCTATTTACTGTACATTACATAGCTCACTGGACAAATAATCTCTTGTTCCTTAATTATGAGCATAAGACACAATACTTGAGACTGGTCAGTGTTGAATAATAAAAAATGATAATTTCATTGGTCTTTGCTCCCACTAGTATGTTGTCCCAGTTATTCAATGGCTGATACATTAGAATTGCTGTGATGGAAAATTTCATGTGATACTGCAATAAAAAGAATGTGACGTAACGTCAACACAGGCAACATTCTCAACTGCATATTAATTATAACCTGCATTGAACTACTTGAAAGTGTTTGAATTCATTGTCTTTTTTTTTTAATTCCCAGGCAAATAATAGATTTTCCCAAAGAAGAAGAAAGTCAGCGGAGCATTAAAATAAATCGAAAGCCAATTCAATTTTCTGGTCCCTCAACAAGTACCCATATCAAAGTTAAAAACTCTGCTTCTTTAAAGATAGCAGTATCTCCCCCTCTTTCATGTTCCCAGATCACTCATAAAAGACCCAGCAGAGACAGTTCGTTACCATGCAGTGAATTATCAAGCACTAAATCAACACGGTTGACTAAAAGCTCATGTACGTCGGGCAGAAACGCTGAAAATGGAGTGGTCCGTCAAAAAACCCTGGATACGTCATTGTCCAAGAAGCCTGCTGAGAGTCGTGTTGTAAAACTCAGGCGGACTCCATTGCGTAATGAACTGTTAACTCAGGAGCACTCGTCACTTGTAAGCAAAATGGTTGAGCAGCAACTTCCACCAGTTTCATCAGTTCCATCACTGCAGAATTTAGACCAGGATTTGGACACATCCTCCTGAAAACATAATGTTAAAATTGTTTACAGAATAGCAACTGAAACATAATTATTATCTGGTGCTGATACTATTGGTCTAGACCGAAAGGCTCCTTGCAGGACAAATAAAAGTGTCCTGTTATAACGAGAAGCCTTTAATATTTTTAAATGACTAATATGCAGTACTTATCTTTTTTATAACAAGAGGTACATGGATGTTTATAAAGTGTTTTGTATTACGCCCTTATTGTGCTGTATAGATCCAAAATGGAGTGTTAAATCATTTCAGGATATGTTGTGATTTTAAACAGACATTCAATCTAAATATTGCAGTTTGTGTCCATTTGATATAACTCTGAAATTTTTCATTTTTTGTGTATTTTATGCTGATTCTGGGCAGCAGTGTGGAAGTCCCAAAGCCTCATCTATCTGAACAATGGAATTGCTGTTCAACAGTTCTTCTGTCTTCTCGGGTTTTGCCTAACATTGCCCACACATTTTCGGAGTTTGGTTGTAATTAAAAGGCTTTGGAAGGTTTTTTTTTTGAAAAGTTGAAATGTATACAGATAAACATATATGATCTAAACTTCAGTGTTACTCCATCTCCTGCAGAGGAATACTAATCCAGATTATCTCCAGGAACATCTGATTTACCTTAATGCTTCAGACAGCTATGAATTATTCTGATATGTAACTGAAATCTACATTGTAACACTATATTATTATTCCTCTTACTCCTTTATATATATAATCAGCAGTTCCTGTTTGTGGCTGCTTTGAAATTCCTTTCCTTTAGCCTTTGCTTCCAGTGCTCTTCTTTCTGATTTTGCTCATATTACATTTTGTCCTCTTCTCCAAATTTGCAAAATGTTATGTCTATCCAAAAATGTGACCAGAATCTTAATGATTGAAATGCAGTACAGGTTGACCATCTCTTATCCAGAATTCCAAAATCCAAAATACTCCTAAATTGCCCACCTGGGTGGCTGAGATAGTGACATCAGTCCTTTCTGATGATTCAGTGTACACAATCGATCTTTCATTCAGATAATTATTTTAAAATATGGTATAAAATTAGATATGTATACAAGGTATGTTTGAAATGTAAAATAAATTTTATGTTTAGACATGGGTCTCCTCCATTATAGACATATTTGCAAAGACAGGTATTCTAAAATCTGAAATAACAAAACACATCTGGTTCTAAGCATTTTGGATAAGGAGTATGCAACCTGTAGTGTTCTCTTTTGTGCTACAGACTTACTCTCAGATTAGTGTTTTACACACACTGGTTTAAATTTGTAGATTATTGGTGAAATTTATAAAAGTTGATTTGAATTCATTCTTTTCTCAGTTGTGTTAGAAATACTCCTGCAATTGAATGAGCTTCATTTTCCAGTTTGTAAAAACCTGGATAGACTTGGGCTTGTTGGTAAGGAAAGATAAGTGACTTGATGTCCTTTCTATCCTAATGAATTTTTACCCAATTTCCCCAAACATCCTACATTGTAACTAAAATTACAAGTTATGATACCGTGAGCATTCAGGATCTGCTATGTGATAAGAAGTATTATTCTTGGAACAAAAATAAATGTACTATGGTTTTTATTTGAAACTAGCCATCTCCTGCCATGCATTGCTGTGGCCCAGTCTGGTGATCAGGAAAATAAAGTAATGAGAAAGTGTTGGTTTCTAATATATGTAGTTTATTTATGCTTGTGGATAAACAGTATTTCAGTGCTGATGTGGTTTGCCTACTCTGGAACATGCAACATATCATTGTCCTTCTTTAGGGGTTCTGTTCAAATCTATGATACTATGTGTGTGTGTGTGAATAATATATATCTATCTATATCTATGGCTGGATGCCTCTTTGTCAGGAGGCCTTTGATTATGTTTTCTTGCCCCTTAAGGCAGTATTTTCTGTTGGTCATGGGAAGTTTGGCCCAATTCCATCGTTGGTGGAATTCAGCATGCTCTTTGATTGTAGGTGAACTATAAATCCCAGTAACTACAACTCCCAAATGTCAAGATCTATTTCCCCCAAACTCCATTTGTGTTAATATTTGGGCAATTCCCAGATGACAAAACCAATGTTTGAGTGATGGTCACTCCTTGGGTTAGTAGGTGTCTTGTGACCAAATTTGGTGGCAATTTATCCAGTAGTTTTTGAGATATGTTAATCCCACAAACGAACATTACATTTTTATTTATATAGATGGTACATTCTTCTTGTTAACAACATACCTGATGCAGTAAAAAAGTGGCTTAAGATTTAATTATTGCTGAATTACCTTTCACAAGTGACAGAATACTGAACTTTGGGAGTATAGTGTGACTAAGGCCCCTTCCACACAGTTGAATAAAATCCCACATTATCTGGTTTGAACTGGAATATATGACAGTGTGGACTCAGATAACTCAGTTCAAAGCACATATTGTGGGATTTTCTGCCTTGATATTCTGGGTTTTATGGCTGTGTGGAAGGGCCCTAAATTTCTACTAAGGCTTACTAAGACTAACTTGACTACTAATGTTTTGAGAGCCCCTTGATTTGTATATGACATTGCTAATGAAAGAGATAATAACGCAGTCAAAATTACAGTAAACTTGCCTTCAGTGGTAAACACAAAACTTTTTGTTGCTGCGTTCTTAATTAAAGGACAAGAACGGCAAAACGAATGTTGGCTTCCCCATGAGTACCATAAGTTCTTTATTTTTCCTAAAGCAGTTTGTGCTGTTGTGTGTAGCATTATTCCCATGACAGTACAGTTTTGGGGCAATGTGAGTAAACTAACTGCATATGCTGTACATACTTGTTCCCAGGTGATTGTAACAGAGGCAGGCAGAATGTGGTATATTTGTGTCCCTCAGTTGCTTTCCAACCAGTGTGCCCCAGCCCATCCGCTTTCTCCTCCAGCCAGATTAATCAGCCATTAGCTGGACAATAGGGGCAAGGCCATTGCTCTAATGCTATTATTAATATTTATTTATTTATTTATTTATTTAAAACTTTTATATCCTGATCTTCTCTACCTCTGTAGAGGGACTCAGACTGGATAGTAACCCTATTAGATTTAATGAGAGGCGGGGGGGCCTTTGTGGACTTCAGTAATTCAGTTTCTCCAGCCAGCTTGGCCAGTGGTGCAGTATGGTAAGAGGTGGCTGTGAATATTGGAAGGTTGAAAAGTAGCTTGGCTCTGCTTTAACCTCTAGACCAGCCATTCTGGGACAGCGGTTGAGGGTGATATGCAGCTAATAGTAGGTCAGTGACAGTTTGGATGATCTTGTGTATTTTAATAATCTTTCCTCACAGTGTAGAGCAGTGGTTCTCAACCTTCTTAATGCTGCAACCCCTTAATGCAGTTCCTCATGTTGTGGTGACCCCCAACCACAACATTATTTTTGTTGCGACTTCATAACTGGCACGAATACTCCATATGCCCAAATGTGAACACTGGTGGAGTTTGGTGAAAACAGACCTTGACATTTGGGAGTTGTAGTTGCTGGAATTTATAGTTCACCTGCAATCAAAGAGCATTCTGAAGCTCACCAATGATACAATTCTGCCAAACTTCCCACACAGAACCCCCATGACCAACAGAATATACTGTATTTTCTGATGGTCTTTGGTGACCCCTCTTACACCGCCTCACGACCTCCCCCAGGGGTCCCGACCCCCAGGTTGAGAAACACTGGTGTAGAGAGCTCTCCTGCTGCAGTAGAGATTAGGACAGGTACCCTGATCTCAGCTGGAAGAGAGTTCTGCATATATGCTGAGATGTAGAAGGGGGAAAGAGCATACATGTCGAAATCAGAAAGGTTAATCACCCCAGTTGCAGCCTACATTATTGTAACGCACAAAGGTCTATTAGGCTATTTGGGCAGAAGAGGGTCCAGGCAGATAGAATGTTACAGAACAAGAGACTATTTGAAGTGAACCTTTCCAAATATTCAGACCATTCAATACATCTTAAAGGATGTAATTATACAAATATTTCCTTGCTCCACATTTCAGTGATGGCAGAACAAGGGTCACGATGTAAAGTTCAGTACCAGAAAATTATTTGCATAAGACTGAGCACGAGTTAGCCTGCAGCTTTTCATTAGGGGATGCAATTTGTGTGGCTGTAATAGCATTAGAAGTATAATGGAATGCAAAACCAATTATTATTTCATATGATAAGCACGTGGTTGCATTACAGTCTTTACTTGTTATGCCTAAAGCAGGTTTATGGAATTGGGTTTTTGTTTTTTGTTTTTTTTGGTTTTGGGTAATTTTAATGTCAAGTATCGGCTGGAACAAGTCAAATAAATTTGAATAGTTGCTACCCTTCTGCAATGGCTTGAGAATTTTTCTAACCAGTATAAGATGAATAATACCAAGAATCTCACATGGGAATTCACTTACATGAAAGATAGAGTAAAAATTGAGACCATTGAAGTGGCAGCTAAATCTGTCCCTGGTCTGGATGTCTGTCCCCTTCTGTGGAGTATTATTATTATTAATAATAATAATAATTTTATTTATACCCCACCTTTCTGCCTGTGAGAACTCAAGGTAGCTAATAATCCACACTAGACAAATTTTAAAAGTGCAATACAAAAGTTAAAAAAAGTAACAATGTGGTAAAAACAATTAAAATACAGTAAATACACTAAAACGGCTTTTAAAACTCATATTCCCCCAAATCCCACCCAATCTCCCCAAAGCCCACCCCTTCTCCGAACAACTGTTGGCAGAAAAAGGTCTTGACCTGCTTGCGGAAGGCCGGCAGGGATGGGCCCACCCTCGTCTCTTGGGAGGGAGTTACACAGTCTGGCAGCAGCCACCAAAAAGGCCCTCACCCATGTTCCCACAAAGCGTGCTTGAGTGGGTAGTGGGACCAGGAGAAGGCCCTCCCCAGTAGATTGTAGGTGTCTGCCAGGTACATAGAGATACAGGTCTTCAGATAACCTGGATTGGAGCCATATAGGGCTTTGTAAGTCAGAACAAGAACTTTGAATTGTGCTCGGAAACGTGTTGACAGCCACAGAGGAGTTGTATGCTCCCTGTATCCAGCCTCAGTTAGCAGTCTGATTGCTGCTCTTTGGAGCAACTGAAGTTTCTGAGCTCTTTTCAAAGGCAGCCCCATGTAGAGCGCATTACAGTAGTCCAACCAGGATGTAACCAAGGCATGTACCACCATGGCCAGATCAGACTTCTCCAGGAACGGGCGCAGTTGGCACACTAGCTTTAGCTGTGCAAAAGCAGTCCTGCTCTCTGTTGACACCTAAACCTTCAGGTTCAGAGCCAAATCCAGGAGTGCTCTCAAACCGCGAACCTGTATTTTCAGGGGGAGTGTAACCTCATCTAACATGGGCTGACTCCTTATTCCCAGATCTGGCTTACAACTGACAAGGAACACCTCTGTCTTCTCTGGATTAAGCTTCAATTTGTTTGCCCTCATCCAGTCAATTACAGCTGCCAGGCATTGATTTAGCACAGGAACCGCTTCCTTGGAAGTGGGTTAAAAGGAGTGATAGAGTTGAGTGTCATCTGCCATTGTAGATGGGACTGCACTCCAAAACTCCAGATTACCTCCAGATGTTTCATGTATATTGAACAACATAAAGAACACCACAGAGTTCTGAGGGACCCCACAGTCCAGTGGCCAAGGAATCAAACAGTAGTGCCCCAGCACCACCTCCTGAGAATGTCCCTCCAGGAACTAATGGAGACGCTGAAGAACAGTACCTCCAAGTCCCATCACAAAAAGGTGACCCAGAAGGATACCATGGTCGATGATATCGAAAGCCACTGAAACGTCCAGGAGGACTAACAGGGACACCCCCCTGGTCCTGTTTTCATGTAGGTCATCCACCAAGGTGACCAAAGCAGTTTCTGTCCCATAGCTGGGCCTCAAAACAGACTGAAGTGGATCTAGATAATCCGCTTCATCCAGGAACCCTTGGAGTTGCAAAGCTGGAACTGGTTAGGACAGTTCTTCTGCTGCCATTCTCTCTCCGCATTTTCCAGCCATGGAGTGATCTTGAGTATCATTTCATCAAGGCATGAACCTTTTGCTCCTCACCTTTGGAGCTGAAGACTGAGGTCCTTAATACTGCCATATAAAATCCAGATTACTTGCTTTGAACTGGACTATATGGCAGTGTAGACTCTTATAATCCAATTTAAAGGAGATGTGAGTTGTATTGTCGAAGGCTTCCATGGCTAGAATCTGGGTTGTAGGTTTTTCAGGCTATATGGCCATGTTCTAGAAGCATTCTCTCCTGATGTTTCGCCTGCATCTATGGCAAGCATCCTCAGAGAGGTCAGTTATCCGCTTTAATAATCTAGATTCTATGGCAGTGTAGAAGGGGCCTGAGAAGAAAGGACCACCCAGAGCCTAGACGGCTGCAGTACAAACCATAGGCTTGAACTCCCAGAAACAAGATCTAATCCTATGACTAAAAGCGGTCTGCACTCCAACTTAGGATCACAAGCTTGGAGCAGACACCCTGTTACCGCAATTAGAGGCATTAGGTACAAAATTATTGCAGCAGGTATAATCCAAATGAAAACCCTTGGACCAGAGACTTTTTCCAACAGTGGTATGGTTGCTTGGGCTGGCCCTTTCCCTCATTGTCTCTGCTAGATTATCTGAGGCCCCTTCTAAACTACCATATAATCCAAATTATCAAA